GCCTGTGGTGATTTTAATTTATATTATACTTCCTCAAGCAATGCCATATAACTACGTCATTTAGAACTCACATGACTGATCAATTAAAACCATTGCCTATCATTTTTCAGACTTTGTAGCTTAACCCTGCAAGTGTTGCTTTTAAGACAATAGTATCCAGCCTACCACACTTTCATTTTTTTAAACCACTCAATAGCTGAGGTTCTTTGAAAAATTAACAAACATTAATACACACAAACAAACATATATTAACATAAAACAACAAAACCACAATGGCAATTGCAATTGAACTACTATAGAAGCATAGCAGCAGAAAATGATAAAATGTTTTATTAAAAATAAAGTGAAGAAGGTAAATTGTTAAAATTCTGGGAAGATAAAAAGGTCTTCACTTAGAGCCAAAAGGAATACAAATTAGGCACCAGGCGCACCTCTTTGGGAAGGTCATTCTGCAGCTGGGGTACCCAACCAAAAATGCCCACCTCTTGATTGCTACCCACTTCATTTCCTCTAGAAAGGGCTCCTGAAGAAGGACCCCCAAAGATTACCTCAGAGTTCAAGCAGGTACTTATAGAATGAGGTATTCCTTCAGGTAACTCAGACTTGTACTTGTGTGTACATATGCATGTTTTGGTAAATCTAACTTGCCGACATACCTGGCGCAAGAATATCTTTGATTCTGGCAAGTATTCAAGGAAGGAGGTTGCCTTGCAGGACCTAATTAGGGTGCAAGGAAACTGCTCATGGGACTAATACGATTGCCACTGTAAACTCTTAATTCTTTGGGAATGGCAGATTTCTACTTGCTGGGTAGAAAGAGAAAAGCACTTTGCATATGTTCCAGAACCTTTTAACTATATTCTTGCTAGCTAGGAGAATTTTTGGCTACTAAGTCCAGACATGATTTGTGATCCCTCTATGCATGCATGTATGCACCAATATATGTTTGTAAGTATGTATATTCACACATACATTCATGCATGCACGCACACACATACTGTGCTTTATTGTATTTATATCTTTAGTGTATTTTTATATTTTGATCAATTGTTGTGAACTGCCCTGAGAGCTTAGTCTATTGGGTGGTACAGAAATAAGATAAAGAAATACATATATAAATGAAATAGGCTAGGAAGATTTTTATTTATTGTTAGTGATGTGATAAGCATCGCCCAATAGGAATTCATGATACTCAAGGGTTATATTCCATACAGCGCCCTAAACTGCAATCATTCTGCTAACAGGGAAGAACAAAGAAGATTAATTCCTAGTAACTTTGTATTCTTTGTGTTTAAATACTAGGAAAATACCATAGCCATTATAACCTTTTCCTTAAAGAAAAATGGGCAAAAAGTGAACAAATATTAATTTGTTTATTACAAATTGATTGGCTTAAAAAGGAATAGTAATTTTCAGAATACTGCCTACTTTGCTCAATGAACTGTCTCTCATATTTGTAGCAATTAAAACAAACAGAGATAAGCTAAGGCTGAATCTATAGATGGCTCTCCATCGTGTTCTTAATGCCACAAGCAACAGCGAATCAATTCTGAAAGATTTCAGTTTCCTTTACTGACAAATGTTCCAGGTGTTTCTGCATTATGCACTTACAAGGTTTGTAGATTTGAAAGTCCCTTAAAGACACCATCAGCAATGTGACTGACTCTGTTGTCACTCAGATTTAATCTCTCTAGTAAACTCAGTCCAACAAAAGCAAACTCATCTAGACGGGTGAGCTGGTTGTAAGACAGATCTCTGAAATAAAGCACAGTACAAGAACAAAGAATTCATTGAAACCACTAATCAATTTTATTTCTGACAATATTTTGCTAGAAAAATAAAGCATCTTTTTAGCTAGGAGAAAGACATTTTGCTGCTGATTTTACTCCAGTAACCATTAGGAAAACATTTGATTGGGAAATCCCAACACGTACAGTTCAGAAAGCCTTTGACAGAACTCCCATGCATCTGGTCCAATCCTATGAATGGCATTCTGACTGACATAGAGCTGTTGTAATGTCCTCAAACCATAAAGCCAGCCCTTGTTTACTTCTGTCAGGTTATTCTGTTCTAGTTCTCTGTAGAAACAAAAGGAAATGTTACATGAGTTTCAAACAAAAACTACACTTTATATAGCACTTTACTGAGGAGGAATGCATAGAGATTTACAAATGCTAAGCTACATGGAAGTCCTTGCACAGGGAAGTCATATACATTTATAAAGAGCAAAGAAATGATTTTTTTTCCAGTAGACTTGGGGTAAATGATCTACCGAGACAAAGCTGGCTGACAACTTAATAACTCATTTGCTACTCTGCCCCTTACAGGATGTGACCTGCAACATTTCTATAGTAACCCTAACCCTTAAAGTTATATGCAGTGGAGAATTAAAATCACTAGCAAAACCAGTAAGACAGCACAGTCCAATGTACATGGCCCTACTCTGCCATAAACTGGGCCATTCATTTTCTTCCTACCTCATTTCCTGTAAAGTTAGAAAAGCAGGGACCAATTTAAGGGAATTGTTTTGGATTCAGCTTGGGTTAAGTATGGGAAGGCATAAGTGGAAAGAAAAGACAAGAGCGATTGCTCTAAAAGTCCTGTCCTCCCTATAGTCATGTGTTCAGGCTGGGAGCTGAACATGCATGGGCGTTCCTTTGCAGAATCTGTGAATGTCCAGAAATATGAATCAGCAGCATGTATAATGGAAGGAATGGGGCCAGCAAGACAGTCCTGTTCCCCAGTTCCCCACACTTTTACCTTCTGTGTGAAGATGTGAACAGAACTGTTGCTGCAATATTAATGCACTACAGTCAAAAGCTCAATGTAGTTACCTTTAAGTGTCTAAAAATAAATGATAATATAGAGGAATGCAGTTGAAAGAAGCAATGAACCAATCAAGACTAGCAAATGAACATGACAAGATACAGTATATTAAATTCCATGTATGATATGAAACCTTAAGCTTCAATGGGTGATAGGAAAACCATATCTTTATATATAGGTGTAATACAGTTTCATCAGTCCTGGAAATGCAGTATCATCCAAGGCTTCTAATGAAGAGACTCACAGTGATTTGTACTTACAGCTCTTCCATGTTATCCAATCCAAAGAAGGCACCATCCATTAGTCTGCTAATCCCATTGCGCTGCATTTTTAATGACTTTAAGGAGTCCAAGCCTTGGAAAGTAAGGCTTTCTATTACTTTAATTCTGTTTCTTTTCAGTTCCCTAAATAATAGTAGTTTAAACATTAGTCAGCTGAAATTAGGTATAACCATTATTTGCTATACATATTTTTGCTCTAAGAAAAAAATACTATTGAAATAACTTCAGATGCAAGTGACACTGGAGCCTACTTTATGAGCTCTATTTTGTTCCCCATGATCTTCAACATCTAGATAAACCACTGGGAGAGACCATCAGGAGGTTTGGGCAGAAGTACTGATGGCACTCAGCTCTACTCTCATTCTCATCACCTCCAGGTGAGGCATTGACTGTTCTAACTTGGTAATGGGCTGAATGTGGACCGATAAGCTGAGACTCAATCCAGATAAGACAGAGGCACTGTTAGTGGGGAGTCTATCTGTTCAGCTTGGGATTTTTCAACCGATTCTGGATGAGGCTGCACTCCCCTAAAGGATAAGGTTCGCAGCTTTGGAGTGCTCCTGAATCTTGTGCTATTGCTGATGGCCCAGGCAGACTTGGTTACCAGGAATGCTTTTCACCAGCTTCAGCTGCATCCCTGCTTGGAAGAAGGGAGCCGTGCTACAGTCATCCATGTGCTGGTAACTTCCTGCTTGGATTATTGTAACACGCTCTACATAGGGCTGCCTTTGAAAATAGTCTGGACCTTGCAACTTGTCCAAAATCGGGTGGAACGCCTGCTTATTAGAACTGGTATCTGTGAACATATCACACCAGTCCTACATAGGCTACACCCGTTGCTGTCTAGGCCCAATTCAAAGTGCTTACAGTAACATATAAAACCATAAAGAGCCTGGGGCCAGGTTATCTGAAGGAATGCCTCTCCCCATACATTCCAGCCTGGTCACTGTGGTCCTCATCTGAAGACTTCCTCTGTGTTCCTCCCCCAATGAAGTGAGGGGGAAGTTTGCAAGAAGAGCTTTCTCAAGCACAGTGCTGATATTCTGAAATCTGATTCGATTGGAGATAGAATTGGTACCTACTTTTCTAGCCTTTAGGGGCCAACTAAAGACATATCTGTTCTGTAGTTATTTTGATTAGGCGACTTCTTGCTTTTTCTTGACATTTTAATCTTATGTTAATGTGAAGCTGCAAATTTGTTTTAATGCTAGATTTTGATAAGATTAAATTTTAATGGTTTTTAGTTTTGGGGTTATGTGTATATATATTGTATTATTTTATTTTGCTTATCTTGCGTTTATTGAATTTTGATAGTTTTTGATAGTTTTTATTGTTATTGGTATTGATTGTGTATTGTCATGTGTGCTATGTATTGTTTTATGTTGTAATGGATTTTAATGATGTAAGCTGCCCTGTGGCTAGTGTGGTAGCCTATCAATCAATCAATCAATCCAATCAAATAAATGGTGCAGGCAAAGTATGCTGTATATTGTATACAACATAAATGCAATGATAACCAATAATAATTTTCTTCCCAATGCAAACAAGTTTTGGAGGAATGATTTAAAGTGTGAGGTCAGAGGGAACTGAAATGCAGGAAGTACAAACAAGAATGACCTTCTTTACAGTGTGTGTGTTAATATATGCATAGCATTTGACTCAGGATAGCCTTCTTGCATCTGCTGAAATGGGCTCTAGTCCATAAATTTCATAATGATTCTTTTTACTTTAAGGTAGCACAAGACTGTTGCTCTTGTGGCAACAGAGTAGCCTGGATACTCTTTTAAAATAAAGTATGCTTTATGAATATTTTTACACTTTTACAAATATAGTCAATAGATTCAATTGTTCAACTGACAAACTCATGATAGAAAAGTACAGTTCTTAGTAGTAAGTAACATTATGTAATATGTAGGGTGTAATATTGTGGCACTAGTCCAAACAAAAGCATATGGCCTAATAGATTAGTCTTTAAAGCAGCATAAGGTATTTATTTATTGCAGCAGCTTCTCTGGACCTTGTTAGGTATGAACCCAACCCTCATTGATTCTATTGTATAACAATAAACACAGCATCTTCTTAATTCATTTTTTCTGGCCCTTTATTTTGAAAAGCATTCAATTAAAAAACAATAATATCAGCCTTTGCATGTAACTGTTGAATGATGGGAAGGATGCTTTTAACACCTAAATCAAAATAGCAGGTCTGGCTGTCTGAAGCATTGCACCCCCTGTACTCGAAATACTAATTGCACCAAGAAAGTGTAAATGCATGGTGTGCCTGAGCTATACAGCATGAAGACTATGAACCAATGTGATATAACAACTTACAAGAACTGTACATGAGGCAGCCTGAAGGTCTTTGGAGGAATCATGCTTATTCGGTTTCTGTTTAATTTCACAACTATTAGGGAACTGGATAAGTTATCAAAACAACCTGCTTCCAGAGTAGTGATTCTATTGTTGCTCAGATTCCTGTAAAAGCATGGATTAAACAAAAAACAAAAACAAACAAACAAAACAAAATTCAGTGGTTAAATTCTGTCTGAAAAATTACACAAGAATTTCAAAGGAGCCAATTAATCTTTGGTTTGACACTTCCATTCCTTCACTCAAGGAAGTTAATTTTCAGAAAGGAGATATCTTATCACATATTATTTCACTGACCTGCAACTGCAATGCTAAGAGCTGATCAGACCCCTTATTTGCAACCTGCTAGATTTTGTCTCTTATATTCACCATACTATGGTAAACCGCTTGAACACACATAAAAGAAGCTAAATCAGACTTCAGTTTTTCATAAGAATGACAAAACAGTTCCTTTCTGGCTTGTAACAATGGCTATACTCTGCTGCCACACTAAACTACAGTGGCATAATGAGGCATGAAAAAGACTTTCCTATTTATGGGCTTGCACACTACACCTTCTGCCCCACATACAGTTGAGGAGTTTGGAAGCATTTGCTTACTGCCTTAGTTTAATATCGACTGTTTTATTGTCTGTAGCAACAAACTGATTAATGTTAAATCAAAGGTACTTTAAAATAAGCCAACTTCAAACTGTTGTTTCTACATTGTGGCTTGTTTTAAATTAGCCATAGTCAGTACCAGTTCCTGGTTTGGACACACTTGTGGGTGACAAAGAGTAGAACCAAACACTTCCAAGTTCCCCCTTGTGGGAGAAGGAAAGGGAACAGGAGAATGTATAAACCTGGAAAGAGGCTAAACTAATTCACATCTTGCAAAAAAGAACACAATGTGCCCAGTGATAATGTTACATCAACACTCAGAACACAGCTCAGTCTTGCTGTATTTCTAACAAGTCACATGCAATAAGGAAATTTACAGTGGAACTTGCAGGCAATGGCATTCCCTGCTATTAGCACCATCCTAACTGCTGGGATTTGGAGGAATACCACCTCTGAACCAGGATGCCACATTTATTTATCTATCAAAGCTGTTCTAAATCAAGTGTAAATCAATTTTGTTGGGTAACTCAAAATTCTTGTATTAGGAAAGGGACAAATATTTCACTCTATCCATGCTTCACACCATGCCTAATTTTATAAACCTGCATCAAGCCTCCCTTTTTACAACAAAGATGGGCCTGGTTACAAGACCACTGATCAAAGAACTTTATGAAGGTTTATGACCTTCACATTAGGATCAGAACAGGTGTATTATCCTTTTAAATAATTACATGGTTTCTCAACAATAGAATGAAGAAGGAATATGGAAGCATGCCGGTACACAACTCTCTATACTAGCTGTCACACTATCATTAAGAAATAAGATGTAGATGGATATGCAGACATGAAAGTACATGCTTTCAACACTACAGGTTAATTGCCACTTTCTACTTACAAGTACTTCAGTTGCATCCGTGGGAATGAAGAGACTTTGATTTCAGAGATTAAATTAGAGGTGAGGTCAAGGTTTTCCAAGGAACTGTAAAGCTGAAGCTGTTCAGGGACAATTTCTGGGATTGTGTTATGCACTCTAACAATAAAAGAAATAGCAACATAAGAACCTTCATCAGACCAACAATGTAGAGGAATTGTTTATTTTGATGTCTGTTACATTCTAAACATAATTCTATCAGTGCTATCTTGAGATAGTAAACTATCCAGGGTTATGATTATTTGCCTTTGGAAAGTAAGGTTAGTAACTGTTCTTTTAGAGCACAACTAGATGGATTTACTTATATATATGAAAGCTTAGGGAACATTTGCACCACATGAGAACCCAACCTGCCAATGAAACCACCCACATTTGGACACATTGAAGGGCCTGCCACTATCTGTCAACTCAAAGATCATGAAAAGTAGTTTCCAAAAAGGGAGTGTAAGGGGAGGAAAACATGACAAACGTAAAAAAAGTTTGCAGTCCTAGGAGAAGATCCAATGAGTTTTTGCTACTCTAGCTATGCAGCTTGCTATCTATTTCCTGCAACCATGATGGAGTTGATCAGCCAGGTTCAGATGACATGTCATTCCATCATAGGTCCAATGGCCCCTTGAACAATCCACCCTGTGGGAAGCAGCGCTAGTTCACATGACATGACTACATTGCTTGTTACCCACAATAAGTTGTCATGTGTGCAAAGTCAGTCAATAATTTAATTTTCAGGCACTAGCACATGTTTCTATTTCCTTTAATTTCTCTACTAGGTCAGTTTTCCTGCACTGCTCAAGCAGGTATAGTTCCAAAGATCCGTAAATATGTACTTACAGGGAAAGTAGTGTAATGTTAGAAGTCAATTCTCCAAAATAGGGGATGTCAGTTAGTTCGTTGTAATTCATCTTTCTGAAAGAGAGATTTCTTTAATTGACATTTTGAAAAATGAAAAAGTCAAAATGGCTAAATGACCAGTAAACACTTTGTTTATATTAATATTCTTGTTATATGCAATTCAGCTAGGTTTACAATACCTGCAAGACACCAAGCTAATGTAATTTCTTAAAAGAAGTGTGAAAAGGCAAATTATTCAAAGAGCAGAACTGCTTAATTAAGTAACAACAGAGATTTTAGCAATCTTGGCCAGAAAATTCAGCTAACAAGAATGAACTGAGAGTATTAACAAATGTTTCCAAACAGTGAAATATTATACCTAAGAAATGTAAAGATATGAGTATCCAATAGGACACTACCATTAACATAGATTATTTTATGCTACTATAAACAACCTTTAACCCAACACTAACAGTTCTTGTAGGTATAATGGGCTTACCTGTCAGTGTGACATTATATGATGCTTAAATGAAGAACTTGAGGATCAAGTTAAAACATTTTTATTTGAATTAAAGTAATCTCAGTGTGATTACCAAATGTTACTCAATGTAGTGACTTCACCACTGGAATTCTAGTCCTTCCTGGAGAGACTTGAAGCATGCAAGGACTTAGGATCAACATTTATTCCTGGGCCTACAAATCTAAATTGGCTGAAGATAACTTTCTGATGACCCCAGCACTGCTACATCTCTAGCTTAGTAACCAAAAACTAAGCAACAGAAGTGAAAATTTTCAACTAGCCAAAGGTTGTACAGATTAATTCATATCAATATGCAAACAGCAACCAGTTCCCACTTTGTACACCATTTTTCTCTGACCGTTCAATTATTTCTTTTCTCAGAATGTTTCTTATGCCAATACTACTGACAAAAGGCTTATGTTTCCTTTGCTTAGCGCCTGTATTTTCTGCTTCTTTCCAAAACTCTTCTACCTGTTCTATCCCTATGAAAAGTAACAGCTAATCCCTGCCTGATACTATTTTACTATCCCTACCACCATAAAATCCTTTCATGCATAACGATAGCTAGAATAACTTACACTTCTTCTAGGATTTGACCTCCTGAATCAATGCTCCAGTTAGAAGATAACAAATGGTTATGACTCAAGTCTCTAAAGATAAAAGACAAAATCACAAGGTTATTCTAAACACTAGTATCAAATGCAGCTAATAAAACCCTGATGAAAGTACAGCTGTTTGAAAGCTGACTGGTATATGTAAAATTGGTATATGTAAATTACTCCAAGTGACCCAACACTAAGAAACTACCACCTGTGATTTTGTACTTAACATTAGTAACTTGGAGTGCCAATTCACTATGAGCATGAATTAAAAGGATGAGGAAAATACTCAGATCAGTCTTTAAATATTGTGATCAGACTTATGATATGACAAGATGTCATCTGACATAGACTAATCTACATTGCATATTCGAAACATGGTACCATAGTTCTGTTTGTACCACTGATTGAACAGATTGATCTTTTAAAAGAACAGAATGCAAAACATATCAAGGTAAATATATCTCCTACTAAGAAGTGAACCCAAAGGAATCGAGTTGCAACACAGATTAACTTGCCAAGATAGTTAGTTACTAGTATTATTAGCTTAAAAGAACATTTATTACATTCCTTCTGTAACTTTTACCATGACTTAAACCATAATCCTAAGGCAAAAGTGAAATGTATTTGAGGAAAAAACTAGTTATGAAATAATAATGACAGTATTATTAAGGTGTGGGCTGCGGAATCATCAGTACGCTGATGATACCCAGCTCTACCTCTTGTTTTCCACCAATCCAGGGGAGGCAGTGGCTGTACTGAACCAGTGCTGGCTGAGGTAATGGGCTGGATGAGGGCCAATAAACTGAAGCTCAATCCAGACAAGACGGAGGTCCTGTTGGTAGGCGTCTCAGGCTTCGGAGAAGGTGAATTGAACCTTGTCCTGAACGGGGTTGCACTCCCTCCTAGGGATAAGGTCCGCAGTTTGGGAGTGCTCCTCGACCCGGAGTTTTCACTTGAAGCTCAGGTAACAGCAGCGGCGAGGAGCGCTTTCCTACAGCTTCGGCTGATTCATCAGCTGCGCCCCTATCTGGAGTACGACTGCCTCGCAACAGTGACTCATGCACTGGTGACTTCCTGTCTTGACTTCTGTAACGCGCTCTACGTGGGGCTACCCTTGAAGACAGTCCGGATACTTCAATTGGTTCAAAATAGAGCTGCCAGGCTGCTGACGGGGACTGGGCGTTATGTTCACATGATTCCAGTTCTCCGTCAGCTTCACTGGCTCCCCATTGAAGTCCAGGCCCAATTCAAGGTGTTGGTGATGACCTATAAAGCCCTAAACGGCTTGGGTCCTGGTTACCTGAAGGAGCGCTTACATCCATATATGCCCAGCCGCCCCCTGAGATCAGCGGGAGAGGCCCTCCTCCGGGAGCCCTCAGTGAAGGAAATTAGGAGGGTGGTTACTCCGAGGAGGGCTTTCTCAGCGGTGGTGCCTAAGTTATGGAATGCGCTCCCCAGAGAGGTCCGCCTGGCACCGTCGTTATTTGCTTTTCGACGCCAGGCGAAGACCTTTTCATTTAAGCAGCATTTTAAATGTTAATACCATGGAAATTTTATTTGGCCAGGGTGGCTTATTTTATTCTAATATATATTTTTTAATTGTTATTGTTTTAATGTATTGTGCATTTTATTGTCTGTTGTGAGCCGCCCCGAGGCTTCGGCAAGGGGCGGCATAGAAATGTTTTAATAAATAAATAAAATAAATAAATAAAGATTAATACAGAAGCAAATCAAGGCTTCCGTCCTAAGGATGCTTCTATAGGGTAAGCCCTATTCAAAACAGCAGGTCTTACTTCTGAGTAAGTATGCAGGGGATTTCACTGTAAACCATAAAATCTATTCATTGGTTATTCATTTACAAGAGAAACTACATTTAGATAATGCTAGAGGAATCTCTTCAACGGGAAAATCAGATGACTTGTCAATATTTCATCAAGCAACAGAAAATCACTTTGGAAGAACTTAAATTAAGAACATGTTGGAAATTCTTCTCCTCCCATCACACACACTATATATATAGTTAAAGCTTTCTTATAGCCCATATATTGGGAAATCTTACTAAATAAGGTTTAGCATACTGTGAAGAAAGACTTGACTGGGAAAAATGATAGCAATGAAGGCGATATACTCTCAGATATATAAAACATTTTCAAAATAAAATCACCAGAGTCTTTTATATAATAGTGGAATCAGGCTCTAAAATCAGATCTGAGTTTTTTGGGAGAGAAACCTAACATTTTTCAAAGCAACTTCTATGACACAGGGAAAGTATAAAGAGCTTTTTCAATGGTATAGAATTCCTGAAAGATTAGATAGCATTTAGAAATGCAAATTCTTGATGGCTGCAGAGACTATAGCTTTTTTTGAACCTCTGAAGGTAAAGAAAGAGACCCATCAGAAAAAGAGACTTGAACATACAAGCCTCCTCTATGAGGCTGCAGGTACAAGCACAGCAATACCATTTCAGCATTAAAGAGCACGAAAAAAGGTGTTCTGTAGGAATTCCATGCATATGCAGGGAGAGGCTGTGGAGCCACAGGACCTTCCCATGTTTTTGCAGATTATGTTTGATACCTTAACTAATGATACATACACTTAAAACAGAATAAAACAAAAATAAAGAACCTGAGGGACAAATTAACGTCCACTCCCTGCAATGATGAAGTCGTCCCAGACATGTTTTTTTACACATGGCTGAACATTTATTTTAAAACTCTGTGACAAAATGTCAGGGAGTGAATATCTGAACTATAAAATATTATGCATCATGCTTAATTGTGCACAGCAACTTTATTAATCCATTCAAAACAAATAATTAAAATAAATGGTTAATGTTGCATTCTAAACTTGTGCATATACTACATCCAGGTAACTTGATATATCACCATGTTTTACAATATTTATGTAAAAGAGATGCTAAAACTAATGTAATATATCAAAGGAATGTTTCTGTCTTACAGTTATATGTGCACTTTGACTCACACCTCTGACATAGTTCATATGTAGATCTAATAGCTGTAAATAAAAGGGACTGGGGAACATCTGAAGTCCAGATACTAGCCTTTCCATTATGAAAAGTCTGCCAGTGGTAATAGCAATGAATGGCATGATAAATATCGGAATACAGAAGCTAGAGAATAAAGCCAATCCAACAATTTGTCCATAAATATTTCATATGCAAACCTTTTTCAAAGCTATAAAAATACAGAAAGGATCAGGTTTCTAATCTGTGGACCCCAAAGTCTTCTGGTGGACCCCAAAACAATCTGATAAACCACATTATTCTGAAAAGAAATCAGAAGTCTAGCAGTCCCAGGGTACTGGTCATATTCAAGGAGAATAAAGCTATAGTTACCTACTAGTCCTGATGGCTATATATATGACTTCCAGTAGCAAAGGCAGTATGAATATATACTCTAGTTGCTTGGAAACTTTGACAGGAGCTGCTGTACTCATGCCCTACTTATGGCTTTTCCACAAGCAATTGGATGGGCACTGTGTAAACAGAATAACAGACAACATGAATCCTTTGTCTGATCTAGCAGGGCTTTCATTTTCTTAACCTCTTGAAATTTTTAAGAAAACATGTTCACGTCTTTCACTGTTCAAATTAGGAACAAACCAGTTGGGATGCTTCCCATTCTATATTTTAGGTAGATGGTAAGTTCTGGATGTCTGGCTGCAAGTCTTTGGACGGGGAAGAAAGACGGGTGAAGTGCCATATCTTGATGGCCCTGATCTTTCCTTCCCTCCTTATCATTTCTTCAAGTTTGCTCTTACAATCTTGGAGAAGAGTCAGTATTAACCATTCTATGGTAGCTACATGGAGGAAGTGGATCTGAATACAGATCCTCAGCTCTGAGGATGCAGCTCAATTTTCATACTCAAAATTGGAATTCTGATTAATCCTATGAGCTCTTATATGCTTTCTAGAGACCACAGGTTTGCTGTGAGTATATTACAGCAAATGTCTAAAATGTGGTGCAAGCTTATAATGTGAATGTTGATAATACCAGATAAATCTTTATTTCCCAAACACAGATATATCTTCCCCTAACTATTAGATTTAGATCAATGGAATGCTGATAATCACACTTGGTGCATCTTAGTTTCATACATTAACAACATTCTACAGGGTTGTTAATGTTCACAATAATATCTACATTTACCAAACTGCAGATATTAAGTGTAAACTGAGTAATGTGAAAACCTATCATTTTGGAAGATGACCAAAACATGGAAGAATCCTTCTACAATGCCCTGAACACAACAGTTGTGTGTTTGTATGTGAGGCTCTCACATGTACTTTGGAAAGCAGCATAACCTGTTGTTTGTTATTGAAAGAATAATCTTTTTATTTATTCTTAATAAGACACTGGGCCTTTAAAGTAGGTCTAGAACAGCAGCAAACACACAATAATCAAAGCAGACTTCTATTTCACCCTGTTAATAAATTTTGGCTCTCCTCCAGAAGGAAGATGAAACCCAGGCTGCTTATGTTGACAGCTCAAGCACAGTATGTGTGAGCAGAGCTGGCACCTAGAGTAGGTTTATGCAGCAGTCCAGATAACAGAGATGGCAAGCAGTTTATCTTGTCAGAGCAAGCATACTGTTGATAGATGTTTGCATGCTTGAACAATGCTTCTACCAAAACCAAAAAGTTCTGTCTCAGCTAGCAAGTCATACTTGTCTCTATCAATGTATTAGTCACTTCCCCTTGATTTGTTAAAACCACACAGATTTATCTGTGATACTAGAATTTTACTGATAACTCCAGCAGTGACTCAAATTTTATAGAGCCTTTCTTTGAGGAAGCCATATTTATTATTTACTAAAACTGCTATGCCAAAAGCAATTCTTTATTTAAGATGACAAACCGGAGCACACATATATTTTCACATGTAAGGTTTTTTAGAATGTGTGTTCTGATTTACAAATTTATTTTCTTTGTATACTGCTAAACAGCCAAAGCAAGCAGAACAAAAAAAGACTCAATCTGGTATTATGAATATTCAGACATAATACAATTTTCATTGCAAAGCACCTGA